GGTGTGAAACGCATTTTACGTCGTGCAGTCTATAGTTGAATAGTAGTGCAAGGCATCGACTCACCGTGCAATAAATATAGCATGTGTGTATAGAGGTACCCAGCATGTTACATTTTCTAGCCGGCACGCAAAGAATGACAGCGCAGCGTGACGCCAAGGTGTGTTTGAGGTAGAGAGTGCGTCGCTTACACTTTTAACATCATAATACATTTAACTACAAGCCAAAAATATTATTTTTTTGAAATTTATATTTTAAGTTATAGAAAATCTTTAAATATGTACTAAAAATGCAAAAAAAGTGTTTTTTGGTTGTTTGTTTCGGTTTCACGCGAAAACTACTCATCATATCATCATGAAATTTTGAATATATATTAACTGATGTATTGCAAAGGATATAGGATAATTTTTATTAAAAAATAATTTTTATAAAATAAGATAATAATTAATTAAACAATTTTTTATAAAAATCTTTGATATAGCTGCCCAAAAACGTAAAATTTTATAATGTAAACAATAATTCGACGTGCGTGCGTTTTGGGGTAAGTCACCAGCGCATATGAATCACCCCCAACGAAGCATCTGTCATTCTGACACCCGCTCGATGTCTATTTATTATCGTCCGTCCGGCGCGCTCGCTCACAACCTCCCCGACGCTCGTTAAACTCGATGTCTATCTGTCTATTCTCTAATTCTATAGACTGTAAATTTCCAAACTGTGCATGCTGCACATGCGCAAAATTTAAATCCACATACCTTCTAATCATCATACCTAACCTGTTAACTCACGTTTAAATTAATTTTGAATATTGTCTAAGTACTTGTACACCGAGCACCAGCACTCGACGTTAAATTGTCTAGACAAATTCTCAAGTCACGACCTAAGTCAAGTTGTGCTTTGACCTGGGGCAATCAGATGCTGTCATCTCCTCGCGATATTAATTGCATTCGGCGATCACGAGCGCATTATGACTGCGAATAATAGCCTCGGCCGGCGAGAGAGTTCGAGCGGCCAATTGGCGGCGAACTTGCTTTGAGTACACTGTGCGCCAAGTTTAAACGTTATGAATTGCTTTAATTTGTGCGTCTATTCGGGTTGTCGCCGAGTCGAACAGGGGTCCCAGGCTGAAATTCAAAGGTGAAATTTGGTCTGACCACAACCACAACAATATTAAATTTAAAGTTTAACGGTCTTAATCTGGAGGATTCAGAGTAAACTAGTCATAGTTTGGTTGTATTGTAGGTGTGGAATGAATGAAGAGAAGATTGTCTGCGGTGTTGCAGACAAGTCATAGAAAGGTGTTTGAACTGAAAGAGAGTTGAAAATGTATGTGTCTAGTCTTTAAGAGGGTTAAATTGGTGCTTTTAGGCAAGTGTCTTAAAGTGGGCACAAATTAGCTTATATAGTTTTCAAGTTATGAGGGATTCTAAAGGGGGATCATAATTGCATATTTTTTTATTTATTGTACTTTATGCTACTGACTGAAATATTAACTTTAAATTTTAACATATAAAAATTTAAAATTTAAGTTTGCAATTTTGGTTGCATGTTACTACCTCCCTTTAATTCACTTTTTTCTTTTGAGTATGTCCATCATTTCACTTGAATAAAGAATAGTTAACGAAAGAAAAAGTCCCAAAAAAATTCCTGAATCTAAAAAAGCAGAAAATAAATTATCTCAAGAAGCCCGAAGAAATGAAGAAGATGTGAAGATGCCGAACAGCGTGAAATTTACGACGCCTAAATGCCCATATAATCGGAGCGATTCATAACACAACGCAAATGAATTTTTCACGCGGTTGCACGCATTTAAGTACCGCTCGAATTAGGAAATTATGAATCATTAGAAACGATTAGATGCGATTAGCGTCTATTATATCCATCAAAAATAATTTATAAATTTTTATTTTTTTCCTCTCCGGGCGGTCAAAATTAAATTTCAATTTTCTATTTCGAGATGCTGCTGATTAGCAGCGCCATGAATGCGATTGATATGCGCAATGTGCAGGTATGCTTATTAATTGTCGCCCGATTGATATTAATGTACTCGAACGCATGCACCCCCATCGCAATCACGCTTCCCGCATGCCCATGTCCGTCCGTCAAATTACGCCGCGTCGGACTTTGATAAAATCGCGCGTATGTGACCCTCTCGGCCGGGCGGAAATTAATAATGACGCGCGTACGATTATCGGGGGCGGAGGCGCAGCCTCCCGTGCGTTTATCGTCGCCCTACCGCGCAATTATTATTTTAAGCGTAATGCTCGATTAATCACGCGATAAATATTTAATGCGGCCAACAAGCGTCAGAAAACAATAATTACAAATATTGGCCGGGGGTTGAAACGCCCGCTGATAAAGCTTATGAGCGCCGCCTCCCGCAATTTTGTTTTATGTAGCCGCATTGTGAGATTTATGCATATTGCTGTTTTAATGCATCAATAAGCGTCATTAAAATTGATTGTATTCAATTAATTCGGCGCGATTATAATTTGGTTGGAAAAGTATGAGCGCCAGAACGTCAATACCAATGCAACTTTTGTGTTGCGATCATCAATTTCTTCAATCGCTTGTGTTTGATGTATTGTTTGGCGTTGTGAGAGCAAGAGTGAAAACCCACAACATCCTAGACAAGCTAAATACACACTTGATTGGCTCCTTGCTCGGCTTGATTGATCGAGTAATATATAATGGAGTGTTCCCGGCTTGATGCTCTTCCGCAGGAGGAAGCTGTGGTGGGTGGACCACGTTGCATTTCGGGCCAACAACGTACAGCGAAGTGCAATCTCACTCGACTTCGATTTCGGGCTGGTTTCCGGAAAGATTACGGGACTGAGACATAGATAATTGACAGTTTTTGTTACAAAACAAGAAAATCATTGAGAAAGTCGTAAATATTTATTTTTTAATGTTTTTGGGATAAAATTGATCGATTAAACCATAGATTTTAATTAAAAATTAAAAAATGTATTTTGAATAAATTAATGCTTAATTTAACTTAAAAATATTTTTAAATTTTTCTTTATTTTTTATTTTTCTTCAATTTTTAAATATTTTTTAGTTTTTCTTGTTTTTGGCAATATTTTCAAATTGTAAAAAATAAAGTTTATTAATGATTAAATTAACACTTTGTCAAGATTCTGAAGTGTTGAAAAATAAAATTCAACATCATGCTGTTTGATTGAGTCGATTTATACATCCGTTTGAAAAAATTTCAAGAAATCTCCCTATTGTGATGCAAAAACACATTCAAATAAACCTAAACCCCAATTGAAGATTATAATCCACCTGTTCAATAACTTCTCGATAGCAATTCACCAACAATACTGCTTAATCAAGCATCACAATAGCTTCCGAATGATTTATTGATTTAATATTTATTTTTCGGCTGCGAGCAATCAAATTAATGTTGGAACCGTTTGACTTCAATGCAGATACGATGCGAGATTTAATACAAACCGGTTGCGTTTTGTATTTGGATAAACTTCTGATGGCTGGTTTTGGAGGTTTTACAGCGTGATGTGATATCTACGTTTTAACGTCTTTATTCGTTTATTATTTCCCGTCTGCTGCACGTAGGATACACACCAACGCAGTTTAAGATGTTGGAGGAGAAGAAGAGCGGAAAAACTTAGAAAGAGGAAAAAATGCGTGCGCGCCGAGATGGAAACTGACGAACATATTTATTATTACAAATTTTCACGCGTGCCATCAGGATGACGATGGCAAAGACGAGCTCTACGTGCATCAATTGCCGACACGGGCGACACGGGTATACGACGCCATTTTGAAATATACAGAGTGTGTTTAATCAAAAACAAAAAATTTAAAAAACTTTCTGAAACGAAATAATTATAAAATTTTATAAAAAATATTGAAATATTTATGATTTTTTGAAAAATTTTCTAAAGTATAGTTGATATTTTTATTTTTTCTTTGTGATGTGGAAATATTTTTGTCACTTTTGTCATTTTGTCGTTTGCTTAGGTGATCCCGAAGGCAAGACACGCGTCTCGCTCGAAATATTTCACTTTTACTCGTTTGCCTCGTTTTCCTTCCGCGCGCAACGCCTTCGTCATTTTTTCATCTCGACACTGTTTCCGCAGCGTTTTCCGTGTTCTTGGGGCAGTCTTACTGGAACGTCAAATCGCATTTTGTCAGTGTGTCATGCTTGCTTTTTATAAGCAACTTAATAATTAATTACCGGTACGAGTGGATTTTATGTTACAAAATCTTTCCATGAAATGGAAATCGACCAGTACTTCAATGTACGAGTAAATATTTAATTTCTACATGCATTTTAATATTCAATCACAATTAAAGTTACGAGTATAATGCTGGTAAGCAGCTTACCGTACTCGAATTATAATGAATCTATTGTCTATCCGAATGTATTTTTAAATGCATTCCAATTAGTTTATTTAATAATGAAGACAATAGATTGGGTTTAAATGGAATTTTGCTTTGTATTCTTAGCTATGGTCAAGAAATATTGTGTTTAACGAGTAGAAATAATTGTTTGTCATTGGAAAACACTGTTTTGTGTACAGGAAACGTCAAAACCACTGTTTTCCACTCAAGGTATGTAATAAACTTACATATTTTGCTTAAATTACTATTAAAAACTCTTAATTCTGATACTTTAAATACGTTTTCATATATTTTCATATAAAACTTCAAATTGAATGAAAACTTTGCTAATTAATGCTATATTTCCTAAAATTTACGTTGATATTTTAATAAATTAAATTTATATGAAGATTATATTATCTGAATATGTTTATCATCCATACTGCACACAAAACTTTGCAAATTCCAACATTTACCTGAGTCTCGAATATTTGCGTGTATTTCTGCTGCACTTGTCATATCACCTCGGAGTGATATCAACCGCGGCGTCTTTACCTCTCCGTGCGCTCGGTGCGTGTGGCTTCGGAAAGTAGAGGGGCGCTCCTCCCGCTGGCGCCTCGCATCGCGCAGCGCGGTATCAGGAGGACGGAGGGTACGCGTGCGGTGCTGGCGCCGCCGCGCTCCTAGTACGCCGATAGCCACGCGAGCGTGTCGTGTCGTGTGCCGTGTGTCTGTTCCCGCGATCAACAAACGCACCTCGACTCCTTATCAAACACAAAAATAATATCAACACAACTATATCTTCATCAACACAAAATACACTTAAAAATATAAAATTTAACACTGTGCAGTGTATATATAAACATAAACATATCTATATATTATATAAGTTAGTAACTCAGTTGTAGAAATTTGTGTCTTGTGCGACTTCCGGGTGGATAAATCATCCGACAAGTTTGCGACTTGTGGCGAGACCCGCCCCTCTCAGTGTGTATGTTTGCTGCGTGTGGAATTTCGCATTTTACCGCACACATTACAACAACAACAACAACAAGCAGGAACAAGCAGGAGGGCAGGAGATTAGTGTGGGAGTGCGTGTACATGTGTTCGCGCCCGGAGGATAAATATTCGGGCTGACGTGGTGCCGGTGCCGTGGTCGGTCGCGATTTACATATCTAACGATATTTCATGTGCGGCGCGAATCTGTGTTTGCGGGCGCGAGGCTTGATTTTAATTGCCACTGGATTTATTATGATAAGAGCAATAGTAAACCTCAACTAGTGACTCTAAAACTCAGTGAAATACAATTTTAACAGGATTATAAACTAAGAAGACGGATTACAGTGTCATATTTTTGAAAATATGATTTTTATTTAATTATTGAAGTGATCGGTGTTTAAAATTTGTTAATGTGCGTGTGGATTTTAAAATAACTTGTAAAAATGGTGCAAATACAATTGTGGTTTTATTTGCTGGTCGCCATCGTGGTATCGACGTGTGATGCGTTTGTTGCTGGCCAAGGTGAGAATCTTATCTTTATCACAACAAAAATGAAGCAAAACACGTTTATGAACGTTATTTAGAAATATTTATATATATTGAGGTTTAAAATTTTACGCGTCTATGATATTTATGGAATATTTCGCACACTGCAGAGATTATTCTGCATGACTTGATATTTTCCACCGGATGGAATTTTCTGCGCTTATAAATAGAAATGTCTTATTATTGAGGTGCCGAAGCGGTGTCCCGATGACAATAGACATATTTTTGAATAAAATCTAGATTTTTGTACGAATTCAATAAAATTTTGATTTTTAAAGGATAAAATTTAATATTTCTGTATGAAATTATCTGTAAGTTACGAGTATCTGAAGCTCCGCCGCATCTGGCATTTAGATTCAGAACATTTCGTGTATTTCACGTTTCATATTTCGTACGTCTACTTTGTATTTGTATTTATTTATTTCGGTTTACGTCGCGGCATTTGCATGAGATTTGAGCCATAATATCCACCGAATCTGGCGAGTTTATTCGTCCCGTGCATATTTTATTATACACATGCATACGCCGAAATTCCGTAACTTTCTCGCCCACCACGAATCTGGGATCCGAGAGACGCGAGCGAACTCCCCACAGTGCAGATATCACCGTACGCCTTGGATTTCTCCCGCATGTTTGTGCAATGCGACGAAAATCGCCCTGATTAACAGCAATCTCAGCTAATATTAATTAACGACTTCTGAAGTTCACCATACCATGTTTAACAAAGTTTAACATTACGTAGTTTAATGGATAGATACATTTATATTTTATGTTTTTTTATTTTATGAAAATGTCTCCGGGATACTCGCAATTCCAGGAAGGAAAGACGTTGATTCCAACGATGTCGTATTTGCTTTTAATTTGCGCCCTCCTCACACGAATCCAACCCTTTTACGTGCTTCGACTCGAATCCGAAGTCGTTTTGTACCTCTCGCGGAATCTTTCCAACTTTTAATTGCTTACACACCTTCACAATGCGAAATCGGAGCGTCTCCTTCACGCCGCTTAATTCAACTCGCGAAATTTTACGTAGTTTTGCCGGAAATTTTAATTTCGTCGCACGCTTCTGCAAACACTTTGATGTTGTGCTTAACTGAGAATTAAAACTTTCGACGACAGTACCAATGCTTCACACTAATACCGAATGTTATATGGGTGTGGGTGATGTCGGAAAGTCTGGGAACTATTTTCCTATTAATTCGATAAATTCCGCCGGCGCGCAGACACACACAACTTGGCCATTAGTCGTCGTTAAAAATTCACCATGTGGAAATGCACGAAAACGTGTTTGTGCTTCTTGCGGCCGCAACCCTGAGAGGGTGGCACGCCACCATTGGGCTCGTATTACCTCCTGCTATAATATTTACATCCAATTTTGATTGCATTAGCTAACGCCGAACACCGTTTCGACAAGCATGACCTAAGTAAATAAAGTTGCTTGACATAATAATCTATATCCATCAGAAGTTATCTGCGCAGCAGTCAAAAGTTGAATATTTATATTTATATCTGAAATTTCGGGCAGATTGACATTTTTGAGGTTAATTTAAATTTCTTGGGAGCTGGAGATTCGGAATGAAAAGCAAATTGTTTGGTCCTCGGTGCAATTTTGGAAACTTTTGCGCGTGGGATTTCTACGTCTTCTTTGGGAAAGTTTTCGGGCTTAATTCGGTTTCGAAAGGAAACAGAAGAGATTTGTAAAGCAGCTTCAAAACTTATCAAAGTGGAGAAATTCTATGAGGAACGGAACGGGAATGATACAAAATTTACACGAAAATAAATATTTGAGGCCATAAATGTAGATTTTGTTAATTAAAATATGAATTGAACATATTTAATGAAAATTGATTTTATATAAAGTAAATTATTATAATCGGATATCAAAATAATACTAGCAAATTGCAAATATATTCTCTTTTATCTTGTCTTCTAAAAAAATGAGCTTTTTTTAATTGAAGAATTAATACAGAAAATGCAGAAAAAAGGGATTTATAAAGCCATTTTTTCAGAAAATATTAAATTAAATTGCACTTGGGTTTTATTTTATAAAAAAAATATTGAAAAATTACTTGTAAATGCTTGAAATATCCTTAAAAAATATTTTAAAATTTTTTAATGCAAAATATCTTCAGTTTTTACAAAAAATACAAAAATTTTGAAAATTCGTACCAAAATAAATGTTTTTTGAGGTAATTTCTTTTGCTACTAATTTTTGAAAATAAATTTGATTTATTTAGGCATATTTTGATGATTTCTAATCAGATAATATCCAATTATAGTTATATTCAATTGATATCAGCAATTACTAGTGAGTTTCGAATATCTTTTCGCGCAATCACAAATTTCTATTAATTTACACTGCGCACGAAGTGCGCGAAGTGGGCGAACATCAGATATGGTTATAGCATTTTCCTAGCCGCAGTTGTAGTTGTAATTGGAAGCCAACGGACTAACAATCCTCGCGCGTCGCGAAACAGCGTAGGCGGTGGGCGAGTTAATGGAAATGCAATAAGCTGCTCGATTGTGAAACTAGGATGCCCCAGCTAACACCCCCATTTCTCCGTATACCACTCTCTCTCTTTCTTGGGTCGGCGTTTTGCTGGGTAATGTTCCAATAACTCGTCGGAAACTTTGTCGGCGAGGCGCATGTGTAACTCGCAATAATACACACTATAACGGTGTGTAACTTCACATAACCGTCGTCGTCAGCGGCAACGCGAGAAAAGTTTGGAGATTCCCGGATGTAATTCCGGAAAATGCTCGCGGCAAACTCGGAAAAATCTTCACAATGATTAGAACACGACAACACCAGCGAAAGCAAACGAAATAAAAGTGTAGATAGAATGTGTGTAAGACAGGCAACCCAATGTACATTTAGTGGAAATAATCTCTACGGTTGGTTGCTTTATATCTTTTTTTTTTCTTTTTTTTTTCAACTTTATTAATCCGTTTAAATGAAAATCGATGTGAATTCCACTCTGCGTTCGAATCGAACATCAATTACACTTAACGATTCTATTTTGCATCCACGACGCAAGAAGCTATCGTGGATTTTCCACTCGTTTCGTTATTATAGCAATAAACGAATCGCACGTTCATCACGACCGTGAGCATATTAACCAATGTCGAATCCGTAGCCGAATCCAATCGGAACCTTGCTAAATTGCTTTATACCGCTGCGAATCCGCACCGAAGGAATTAATTTCTCCAAATTATAATTAAGCTGTTCAATGTTCACTCCTCCACGCCACATGTGTTTCGATATGATTGTGCGCTATTGATTAATTTTCCACGCGAACGATCCGATCGTCGCCAACGACAATACCAATGATACATGCGTTCTGCGCGTCTAACCTATTCGCCATGCGGTGATGTTCAGTGTTGTGCGCTGGTGATGGTGATAAATTTGCGGTGGGATACCGCATCAAATAGACTGCCAGCTATTTAATACCGGCCCGAGTGTTTTCAATCAATTCGCCTTGCCGTGCGAGGAGAAGGCTGCGAGCGTTTCAGGGCGCGTGGAACATCTTGTAGCGATATTTAAGCACCGTCATTCGCGCTTTCCATTAAAGGAAAACAACAACAACTTGTCTTTCTATGCCTATCCGAACCCTAAGTTGTGTAGGATTCTCTCATCTTGCGATTCGATTCACTTTCGATTCAGATACAGCCTTTTGGAGCAACTGAGAGAGCGTGGAGTGTGAATGCCTTCGATTTTCGGCGCACAACGCAAATTACCGACATTACAGAGCTCTGTATTAGGCACGTCAAGTTGACGTGATGAAATATTTGCTTTTAGGTATATTTCACATACATTTTAACACCTGAGAATATATTTATCAATATTTTTGAGTTTTTAGAATTTTTTTCTGAAAAATTTATGTTAAAATTGTTTTATTCAAAATGGCGTCCATGGATTCTTGACATTTTTGACGGCCATCGAGTACGCATTACCTACCCCTACATTTTTCACATTTCCCTATCGCATTTCACTTTTGTACAAGCAGTGAGCTTTGATTTATTCCGCGTTCTCTTCTCTGTGCCATCTTCGTCTTTGTTTGCGCGAGTCCAAATCGGTAATAGTGGCTGTTGTGCACACATGCCGTTCCCTTCTTCGAGTGACGCTCTCGTCTGTTTTCCACCGATTGCCAGCGCGCCAACGTCGTTTCCACACTTTTCCCAACATTTTCCAACGTACGTCGTTGACTTGCAAGCGCCAGCACACACTGAAGTGTGTTTTATTCGCTTCTACTTCTGTCTGTGCCATAGTCTGTAGCCTCAGTGTGTTTTCCGGTGTTTCAGAGTTTCATGTTTCATGTTCAGCAAGGCAAATCACGCCGCAGCGTTGGTATAGTCGTGCACCGATTCGCAAATATATATGTATCTAAATCCAACACCAGCATCACACCTCTACTCTAGTTTCAATTCGTGGAATGGTGGTAGTTTGGCGCAAGGGCTGAGGGTTGTAGCAGTCGGTTGGTGATTTGTTGCGCGTAACAGTCTGCAGTTTCACCGCGCGTTCGACTTTTCGTCTCGTTTCGTCGCTCATGCGTTTTTCATTTGAGATCCAGCGTGTGACATAATGTGTTCCGGCCTTTCACAACACATCAATACATATTGGAATTATTCTAAATTCTTTTCGTATGAAGTATTTTGAAAAAGAAAAAAAAAATGTTTAAAAAGAAATTTTTTAAATTATTTATAATAATTTGGTTATATATTTTGAAAGAAAATTAAACTTTTGCCAAAAATTTGGAAAATTTTATATTTATTGGAGCAAAACTGTCTAAAAACTATTTTTTGACAAAAACTCAACATTTTTTTCTCTTTTTGAATTAAAACATAAAAATTATGAGTAATTTGATTATAAAACATTGCTTAATGTACACATCATTATTTAAACCATATATTTATAAACTGTATTTTTCAAAACATTCTTTGTTGAATTGATTGTGACTATTTAAATTATAGACTTG